ACAGAGTTTGTCTGACCTCTCACCTTTGACCAACGTGGTAGGAGTAGGTCTCAATATGCCTGCAGGCACCACCAGGGTATCTCAATTGGTCAATGGGGTACGCAAACCGTCGCACCACGTTAATGTCTAGTCTTGTTGCCTTCGCGGTGTTCTAAACGAGATAAGCCAAATGGGGAAGTTTGAACGTTGCTAACTTCTTTATGTCTGTCGATTTAATGGGCTCGGTTTCGAAACCGTACAGGAGGGTTTACCGAGCAGCTTCAGTTCGAGAGTGATGCCGCCCCGGTACAAAATTTGGCGTGGATTGACAAAAGCACCTTGTTATGTGGTTCGTGATCTCATTTTCTGTTCCATACGCTGACTACATCATGAGGCTATGGATTCGAATCGGTGACCTCCGGATCACAAGGCAAGCATGTAAGCCTTTCGGCTACCAGCAGACAGGGATTAATTTCGCATCACCTTGTTTCCCTAAGCAGTGTTGCATATTATGTTCTACGTGCGCAGACAACACTCCCAAACCGTCTGCTAACTGAAGGACTATATAATCGGAGCACATTCCCTAACATGAATGGGGTTGTGGCAAATTCATTATCATGCTTCTTCAAAATGCAGCCGTGTAGAACTACATCAATCGTAGGCAAACATATATGATTTTTCTAAACAGTTCGAACACCAGGTGAGTAATGCTCATCTCCGTCAACTGGTGTTTGATAACGGGCCATCTGATGCAACATCATCAACCACAGTAATACACTGGCCAGTTAAACTGGTGGTTTATTTTAGCAAAATCATAATAATCTAGGGAATAAAATATACTTAAACTAGATGAATGGAGATCTGGTGTGAAACCCAATTGCTCTAAGCAAACATACAGGGTAAAAAAAACCTACACATAGTGGATAATACACGCGAAGATAGTGCACCATCAGCGAGACAGCTTCTTTGCGGTTTCCACCGCCGCGCGGCTTAATCAGCCATTACCCCGCGGATAAATCAGCACCAAACACACTTTAAACAAACAGTTCGACTAGGAGACGGCAGCAGACGTGCCACTGGTTTCGGCTGCGAGCCATGTCCTGTAAAGTCTCGAGCCATTCACAATGTGCGTCACAAAGACTCCAACTGTAAAACGAAACGGACCAACAGCACCCAATTTGCTCATCATAACTATATTTTGAGGTTACAAGTCAACTTCTGCCCACCTGAAGCCTTGTGTCATCAAGCATCCGACAAGTCAAATAGGGCCATCCCGGGTAGATGGTGACCGCGCATCCGCAGCACGTACTCGAACCGATTCATCTTAGTCAAATCAAGTTAGCTATCGAAGAGTGAATATTCAGCTACAACACACACGCTAAAGACACAATAAAATTAAAGTGTAACAAAAGAATATGGTGAGCCACAAATTTGACAAGATGGCAGTGGTGATATCGTCGATTCCGTTTGGCAATAATTTCATGTTTGACATGTTGCTGTCTTGGAAAAGGTGACAAATACGGAACAACTGACCTACCATAAGCCCGTGTGCATGCATAAATTGCTTTGTACGTTTGTCTGGTCGAAGACGTCTAGATACATTCCGACAATGCATGATGGAATGCGTGGCTGGCGTCAGTGAGTATTTTGAACACCAGTTTTTCAGAGGAGCGAACGTGACTAGACACAGTGATGTCCGTAAGCTCTGACATTGTAATTCCGCTACATAAAGTAAGATGCTTCGGCAACTCAAAGTAGAAGTTCGCAACTGTACCGGTACGGTAGGTCATTTCTGACTAAAAATGGGTTGAATTGCATGCCGGCTGAGAGATAAGCCGCTATCGTACAGATTGTGAATAATCAAACGAAGACTAAAAGCTGACCATAGTTGCCGAATTAGCCATGGGAATTATAACTGCTATATCATTGGATATCATCCTTGGCCGGCATAGTGGTTTGGGAAACTACAAAAATATACAGACTATCATGACCATGGCTCCTTAATCCGCGTTCTATGAAGTGCTAAATCCAGCTGTGCACCGATCGAACACTCTTGAACGGAACGCAGTGGAAATTCGATTGAGAATGGACGAAAGAACATCGACATCAGATGTGTTTCGGTGTTGATCCTCCCAACACTGACACCTCATGACCAGTTTCGTCCTCCTTTTGGCTCATCAAATTTAGATCTGTACTGGGCTGGAATTCGGGGACTGACACCTTGATTACTATGCCACTAAGATCCATGAGAAATGCTTGGCACAGCGGTAAGGTATTTAAAATTGGATTTGGGTTGCCCGACCCCAGTCTCACTCGTGCTCAGGCTATCTCCATTTGATGAGCCCGAATGAGAACGAAACCGGTCATGAGGTGTCAGTGTTGGGAGGATCAACACCGAAACACATCTGATGTCGATGTTCTTTCGTCCATTCTCAATCGAATTTCCACTGCGTTCCGTTCAAGAGTGTTCGATCGGTGCACAGCTGGAATTAGCACTTCATAGAATGCGGATTAAGGAGCCGTGGTCATGATAGTCTGTATATTTTTGTAGTTTCCCAAACCACTATGCCGGCCAAGGATGATATCCAATGATATAGCAGTTATAATTCTCACGGCTAATTCGGCAGTTATGGTCAGCTTTTAGTCTTTGTTTGATTATTCACAATCTGTACGATAGCGGCTTATCTCTCGGCCGGCATTCAATGCAACCCATTTTTAGTCCGAAATGATCTACCCTACCGTTAGATTTGCGAACCTCTACTTTGGGTTGCAGCTCACTTATTCATTGGGCACTAGCTTATTTAATTCCTTCAAGTGCTTAAAATGTACCTACTCGGGTGCATAAACCCTATTTTGACTTGAATTCAAAGGTTTTTCATTACATTTGCGCGTTCTAAGTGGACACAAGCTTACTTGCTACGTATTAATCGAGACAGGTTAATTTTCGGAGTCCTGCTTTCGAGTGATTATCCGGGATACCTCAGACCGTGACAGATTAGTTGGCGCTGATTTGGCCTTCAGCAAATCTGGAGCGTGATAGGATTGGTGCACTTTGATATTCTGTGGGGTTTCGTGAAGGATAATTTTCCTACTCTGTGCACAGTATAGTATACGGATGAACATGTCTTTGTCGGTTTTTGATTAAAAGATACAGCCATGTATGGGTGTCGTATACTTGTCAAATGTCACAGAAATACAGTTGAATTACTCACTCTTCTTGTTGCTGATAAGGGCATAGGTAATTAGGTAATAACCACTAAAACTTTTTACCACTTTGGAATAGTATCCTCTGAGGGTGAACAGGAATCACATCTCCTTTAAAATTCTCGTAATATATTTATCGATATCTCTAAATAGAGGAGCTTTTAGGTAAAGCATATCTCACGAAGGGTTCGAACTCTGACTATCTACCTTTTTGCAAGTGTCACCGTCCACGTCGAACATTCTCGATATGTGGGCATCTCAGTGGAACAGATATCTGCTTGCCTGTTACAAGTTATTTACTAATTAAGTAACGGTGAACTATCTGCATTGTCGCTTGTTTGCTAGATTTCAAATACCGTCACTTAACTGGTAAGCCAATGTCGCACTTGTGTATGTGGCATCTACACCTTCAAGTGTAGTAAGATCATCTCTGATGCCGCTTTAGAACTGTCACTGCATTTATTTTACAAAATTACCTTGTCAAGTGCGGAACCTATGTCGCATTGAGTTTTACAATAAAATGTCGGGATATTTGGTTACCATTTGTAATAGTTGCTCGATTTTTTACTTTACTTATTTCATCGGTAGATGTAGCTTATTACTACCACACTATATACGAAATGAGTTTAATATTCTTAACGCAGTGTATTGTTTTCGGGTCTTCAATATCGACTGCCCACATAAGACATGTTCAGCAACTTAATCAACAGTCGTCAGTCCAGTTCCTTTTGTCAGCTGCGATTCGGGCAAGTATGGTAGAGGTGTACTTCTTAATCGTTTATAGTAACTTGGGATAGTGGACACAAGTAATGAATACTAGTATTTTGGTTCTTGCACAGCGTCTGATGGCGTCCTTAACTGTTGATATGGCTTGTTCTATGGTTTCATTCAGGTGGACTACATGCTCCGTTTCTAGAGGCCGTCACGTCCGTTTCACTTGCCTTTTCTCCATATTGATGGTAGACTATTCTCATTTGTCCACCTGTCAAATATAATACAAGCGGACGTCACACAAGTGACTTACGGGCGCTCTAGGTATGTTCACTAACTAACATGAACGGTTCGAATTCAAATGATTCACCATAGCCAGTCTCTGATCAGTATACCTTCGTATTGTTGACTCGGTGGTCGCTCAAGGTGTACTCCACACCATAAATGTACCAACACCCGAGGTCGCGAGTCTCTTGATATTTTCAGAACGCGGTGTCGTGTTAATGATTCATTCGTTTTACTGTCTTAAGCGATTAGCCGACCCAACGTCACGTCCGTGGATGATTCAGACCTTAAGACCCTAGGCAGCCCGTACCAAGCTGCACTCTTACCTTCCAACGACTTTGTTACTAGTCATTTGGATAGGTAAACGGATTGACAATTTCGAGAGACTGCTCCGTGCAATGCACTCACTGAAACGATAAGCACTGTACGCTATACTGACTTAAAACGCGTGCATAATACTTTGATCCGAATTCAAGAGAACAGCATCGTCCATTTTCTTTCTGGTTGGAGTTCCGATAGGTTTGCCTCCGCAGTCTACCGGACGCGGTATTGCTGGTCGCAGTAAAGAAATTCCAGAATAGGAAGCAATTTTCCCTTTACCCCTCGACAACGAGGGCTTTCCCAAATAGTTGCTCTCGTCTAAATCAGAGGTGACCCTACAAATCAAAGAATCCGACCGCAGTAGATTGCATCTGCTCATCAATTAGCTGAACTATTAACCCACTGTTCTCATTCACGCGACACTTGAACGCGTTCTGGTAGTTTTCTTCTTTCTCTTTAATGTTCCTTCGCTTTCGTTTCATATTCTCACTTCACTTTAGTTGTAACAACATTGAGCGCATATACCGGATCAATCCTCAACTATCTGGCTATTGGCATTGTGCTTTTTGGCGGACTATTCGGCAACATGACCTCGTCTGAGATCACGGTTCTGATTAGTCAGGTAGGTCAGGTGTTTGCGCTCTTTCCGTAGCTGTTTTTGTGCCTACCATTGTGACCATTTTTCAAAGTCTGATTCGCGCCGACCACTGTCTATCTTCCCTACTTGTATGCTTGTACATGCTGTCCGTCACCATATAGCTTGATCCGTGTTTCTAATTGTTTGACGTTGTAACTTAATCAACAAACAGCAGGTAGCATTGTGCCTACAGCCGGAGTTTGGTCGCATTCATTTTGCATCACAGGACTCCAGTGCTCTCTGAAACTGGGAACATGTGTGACATTCAAGAAGATATAATGTCATTTGCTAGTAGAAGTGTTCGCTGAGCTTAGCAGCTTTGTTGCAAACGTTCCATCATCAGAACGCCGTTTTCTAGCGGAGCAGAGCATTGTATCCATAAGCATTTGGCTTGTGTTGAACAATTCGTTGCTGAGGAGGATGGGTTTTTTCGTTTTCTTAATGTGACAGGATAATGAAAACCGCGCCCCCCCCCAAGGGCGCGAATGTCCCACTAGTTAGTCTTAACACAAATAGTCGCTTGCAATGGCAACGTGGAGATGAGCCGGTGGAGAAGGAAGTTCTTTGTACGGCCTGTTTATAAAATCTGACTGTGTTTGTGTTTCTACTTCCTGCGACATGCTTTTAATACAAGTGCAGAAGGATGAAGCTGAAGCGGCTATAGCAGTAGACTACAGAAGCACTGAATACGATCATACTTTGCCAATTTGCGTTCGACCTCTGCACCGTTGTTTTACAACTCAATCACGCAAACGGATTAACCTAATTTGTTGATGTTGTCTGCTCCTGTCACTCACAAATTTCTTGTTTCCAGCAGCATCTGTTCACACTGCGTTCAGATGAGCGTCCTGCAGACAGCCTCACCCATCCAACTATCTAGGCGGCAACACCCTGTTAGATTTGTCTGTTCTCTTCTAGGCAAAAGGGAATAGTTACGCCGATTCTGACCATCGGTCCCTCATACTGTCTCACATTAACTGATAGTTTGCCAACTTGCCTAATTATGTTCTTCCGTAAGCCTCGCAATTATTCAATTACGTAACATGCCGATCCGCTACTTTAGCCTTATCACGTAACTCCTACGTGGCTACCCTGCCTTAACATTATCACGACCTACCGTAGACACTCCTGCGAGTGACACTAAAATGCAACACTGCTTGGCTACCCATGGGCTGTCACACTCACTTGTCATTGTGCGTTGGAATGCTGAGTTAGACTGTATTATGGTGCGAACTGCCATCGGCACATGCAGTTAACAAACGGGGCTTCAAAGCGATATCGGTGTGTTTGGGTGCATCTTGTCTCGGCTTTGAAACACCATTGCTCATTGCAAAACTTCCATGAAGTAATGGTTGTCCTGGGATTATTTATGTTGCGCCTCTGTTCACAGCGTCTGAATGTGCTTCAATCCATGATGAAACTGGTTGTGCTGTCGCGTCGTGTTTTGATAACATTTCATTCCACTCTCATTTCAGACGAGTTTTTTCCTTCTCTACCTAATCAACAAATTCACTTCTCTAATCGAGCTTGGCGTACAAATAGCCGCGCTGGTCGGCGTCGCTAATCGGTTAGTTTTGTCGGACTGCGTCCTGTGATTTTCGCCGTTTCACAGCTTTCGGGCTTATCGTTTGCCTATCCTCTCTTCTCATTCCCTATATTTCAATTATTATCGGATTCAGATTCTCCTTACTGGTCATTGGATAGAGGTTTTCTTCATCTCAACCATTAGCCACCTTTTCATACTTTCGGATTGAAGTTGTTAGTCCTTTGCCCATTCTTCTTACTGAATAATAGACAATGATCTATCACTGCTCAAACAGTAGATGCTTGAGAAGTCCCATTGGAAGATTGGGTGAAACTAACAAAATCAATGCTATGTGAGCCATCTGATTGAACGTTTACTGCAATGCATGCGCCGCAGCATAATGATAGGGAGTCTTAGCATACGGCACAACAGCGGGGACAGTTGGTGTGAGAAAAATATGAACGAAAACAGAACTTTCCCTTTATAGCTCCAAACAAGTAAAGCGGCAAACATGTGAGGTTGCCGTGTTTTCCGAGCTACAGGTATTCTCAATACTTTCAATAAACGTAGTTTATGTGATGACGTTGCCATTTCGTACATTTTTTCAATCACCAACATGCAACATTGTTAGATAAGCCAAGATAGTATCATGAGATCGTACATGGCCGAGTGTTTGCACTACCGAGGTAGGATTAAAGCCATAGTCAGCCGTTTTTGATTGCACAACGGTAGTCGCTCACGATCGAGGACGATATCCTCCAGTAGCCTAAGCATGTGAGGTCGCCGACCGCATATTATGGCTGTGAACGCCTCATCAGGGTTGACTCAGTAATCGGTGATCAGCAAGTGCCTTGTTACTGCCGAAGCCACTGGGTTTTCCGATTCAACTTACTCCGTCGTCACAGACCCCGTTCGGCTGCTTGACCACTTGGGAATATGTTCCTTGATTCTGACACCCAGACTCCGGTCAGTGCGCCCAACATAGGTGTCTGCACAGCTACAGTTGAATTTATATAGACAATGGAACATACACTGCTTCGTCGCTGATGTTTTGATATAAATGGGGGTAGAAATGACAGCTCACAATTATAAAAGGAACTTCTTGCTTCAGACTTCTCAAACGAAGCCTCCCTGCCTCTGTTATGGGCAAACTTCTTCGATTAGTGAGTTTCAGACGCTCCACTGGAATTTTTGAGTCGGTGTGTTTCCGATTATTCTTGTCTGAATTGCTTACAACCGAGCACAGTTCGCCCAATTGTGTCTACTATAGAGAGGCTGACTTTGATCCATAAAGAAACTTGCTTGCATGGGATGAACTAGCTGAGGGAAACAGCCAAGCATTATCTATCATTGCCTGCCTCGTGGCCGCTTGTGTGTCGAGTCGAATTTGTGAACATCTTCCACAACACTAGCAACCCTCATGTTCCAACGTACCGTTTCTGTTGTGGGACAAAACAGCAATATCCCTGTTGATTGTTCAAAATTCCTTCCTAATATGTCGTCGTTGTCCCTCATACGACTGTAAACGGATGTCTTATTCCTCGGATTGGGGTTCAAGATACCACCTGGTCGGATACATAAGCATCCGTTGACGCCAAATTTGAGAATCCCTACAGCCAATTTGCACCCTTGTAGCCAACGTCTTCCACTAATGATGCATGGTTAAACCACATATAAGTAAACAAATCGCGTTATTTCTTCAACACTCGAATATAGAAGCAGATGTGTCTCACTACAAAAGCATCATAAAGCACTACGTGAAATGGAACGTAACATGGACCGTTATACTGAAGCCTAGTAAATGTTCCGGATTGGTCATCCTAGACATACTGTATGTGCTCACATAAGACGGAGACAATATTGTCTGAAACCTCAATGTTCAAGCCGGATATTAACTTCGACACTGTCAGAGAACAGTTATATCGTGAACTGTGAATCCCAACGCTCCATGAATTCATATCAATGACGAATATAGGGTGTTAAAACCTGTCGATTCCCATACTGCAAAGATGTACGGCCAGCTTAAAATGCATAAAGCGGAAATGCTCATGCGATCAATCATCTCTATGGTTAATTCACCATACCACGACATTGCCAAATGTCTGAACAACATGCTTAAGTCTATAAGAAAACCCATAGTAAAGCATACTTTATCGGACACCTTTGAACTACTTCCTTACTTATGATGTGTAAATTTGATTGGGAGGCAAATGCGCTCTCTTGATGTTCAGTCTCTCTTCACCAGCATCCCTTTCAACGAGACTGTTAACTATCTGATTGAGTTCATTACAAAACATGATGTTCAACTGCCGTTGCCCACAGAATTGTTGAAGAACATGCTTCTTTTGTGCACGCAAAACATCAAGTTCTTACTTCAAACGAAGGCATATCTGCAAATAGACGGTGGGGCGATGGGCAACGCACTAGGCCGGTTGTTGGCAGACATGTTCATGAGCATGATCGCGGAAAAGGTGGATGACCTCATAAGCTCGACGGCTCTACACAAGCGTTATATTGGTGATATATTGTTACTCCTGGATTCTGATGTGAACATCACGCATGCGACTGAGATATTCAACACAGTGCACCCAGACCTTATAGTGACACGGAAAACCGATCAGCACGATGGACTACCGTATATCGATGTTCTAATAGCATGGTGGCCCGGCGATTCCGTCAGAAGGTCTGTCTACATGAAGCCAACCTGGGCTGGTCAGTACCTACTTTTTACGCGTTTCTTCCCTATCCATTACAGACGCTCTCTCGTTAGGACACTTCTGTGGGGCCAATAACATTTGCTCTCTGGACACCAGAGAAACTTAGAGATCTACTGATTGATATGCTGCAGTGAAACGGTTATCGGTTGCAGTTTAATAATCACCTCAGTGAAACAACCAAGCGATGTTGTGTACCAACAATCCCAAAGTAGCCGGTCATTATTGAGCTGCTTTTCAAAGGTGGCCAAGTCATTAAACTCATCGAGAAACGAATAAGTGCTTCACAAAAAAAGAGCCAACAATGCGGCATATCTGCCACTGCTCGACTTGGCTTATGCTGATGTGTTCGATCAAGACAGCGACAACGAAGTAGTGCATGTTCTATTGCCTATATAAGTTCACTTGTAGCTGTGGAGACAGCTACGTTGGGCTCAATGACCAGTGTCGGGATCAGTGAACTCATCCCCAATTGGCTACACACCTGGATGGAATCTGTGACGACGGAATCACTTGAATCTGGAAACCGAACTGCTTTGGTAGTAACAAAGCACTTGCTGCTCACCGAACACCGAGTCACTCCTGATGAGTCAATCACAGCCCTAAAATGCGGTCGGCGGTCCCACATCCCTTGGCTACTGGACGCCATCGTCATCGATCGCGGGCCTGCTGTTGTGTATTTAAAAGCGGCTGATTGTGACTCTAAGCCTATTCTGCTGGTGCAAGTGCCCGGCCGTGTAGATCCCTTATGATACTATTTTGCTTTATCTCCTGTCGTTATAGGTTTGTGATTGAAAAGAATACACGAAATGGCAACGTCATCTTACAAACTAAGTCTTCTGGTTTTCTCCTTGATTAAGAATAATAAAGTCTACCCATGTGCCACCCATCTTCAGTCGCCCTTCTTGTAAAAGATTTTTATCTAATCAAGAGTTTGATAGGGATCGCCATTATTCTGAAACCCGTGGAGTAGAATTCGATTGTCTGAGGAAAGGGTTACCAAACTACTGCCCGCCGCCTGTACCCAAATTTGCTTGGTAAAGCCTATGGAATACCAGACGCTGTGATACAATTTACATAGACACTGCATGTTGTGTTGTCTGACCTTATACTTTTTGAACAGTGGCGTGAGCCAGTGTGTGTGTGGTCATGCAACAAATCCATTTATCCGTGCACCCTAATGTGTTTTTTTACTCCTCACGTTTGTGCCCCAATCTTGAAGCAAGTGTCACATAGGTCGCCGTTGGTTTTTCTACGTGCACTTTTGTGGTTATATTAACTAGTCATTTGGAGAAAAATACCATTTGTTAGTACGGAACTTCAATTGTTATGATTCAAACACTTTGGTATTGCTAAGTGGATGTAGGAAGCACCGGCATCCAATTATTTGTTGCTTTGTTTCACTTCACTTAAGCGTTCGAAGTGCATTGACTCTCAACTACTCACCTGCGTATATATATATATATATATATATATATATATATATATCAGAGATCCACTGGCCTACATTGAACGGCCTGAAGCAGCACGATGTGAAGGCGGATCTGGCGGATACGCCGACACTGGATGAGACGCAGAGAGCACTTGCTCAGCTGCGAAACGGCAGGTGCTGACGGGAACCCGCCTGAAGTATTGAAACACGGCAGACCAGCGTTGGTGACTGGGCTGCACCACTTGGTGAAACGCGTATGGATTGAGGAGGTGGTGCCTCCTGAACTGAAGGATGCCCTTGTGCTACCACTGTACGAGGGCAAATGGACAAGCAATGTTGCACGAATTATCGTGGCATCAACTTGCTGATTTGTGTGGGCAAGGTGATTACCCGAATCGTGCTCAACCGCCTCGTCAGTCAGATTGTGGAACCGAACGTAGCGGAAGAGCAGTGTGGATTCCGTTCGGGTCGCACAACTATAGATATGGTGTTTGCGGCTCGTCAGTTGCAAGAAAAGTGCAGAGAACGACACCAGCCATTGTACTCGCTTTTTGTTGATTTCACCAAGGCATTTGATACGGTGAACCGCGAGGCATTGTGGCTGGTGTTGGGTAAGTTTGGTTGCCCGCGTAAGTATGTAGGTTTAATTGAATGTCTGTACGGTGGTATGCGAGCGAAGGTGCAGCTGAGTGGAGAGACCTCGGATGACTTTGCAGTTGTCTCGGGTGTGAAGCAAGGCTGTGTTTTAGCTCCTGCCCTGTTTACTATATATCTTCGTGCCATGATGTGCGGCTTGTGCTTACAATGTTCGTGTGGAGCACCGTATTGATGGTGGGTTGCTGAACATCTGGCGTTTCGGTCCGAGAACCCTAGTCTTTGAGACAGCTATCCGTATG